GTAGAACGTATTACCTACTAAACCTTGAAAAGGATATTTTGAATAAAATGTGTCCATTCGTCTTTAGACAAATATCTACTCTTTTATTCATAATACAAATAAATCAAATTGAGCCTCAAAATTTTCTGTAGACTTCTTACCTTACGTCATTTATTGAAATAAAAGCAAATTCTAAAAGGTAACAGTTTGTACGTATATAGCTGGATTTGTAGCCGAATTTAGAAATCGGAAGGAGCTTCTAGAAATTCTATATTTAAAATCTAAAAATTCTATTTAACTGTGTCCAGTACTTCCCGACTAATTAATTACTTAACAAACATCAGCCAGCGCACAATGTTTACTAATCGAATTCTCATTGAGATTTTCTTGCTACATCATTAATACTCTTTCTTATACGTAAAATCAAAGAAGGACAGCAACTGTTCGCTCGAACAAATATGTCCGGAGTGAAAGCAGCCGTCTCACACTTTCACTTGACTAACCTTGGATTACGCGCGAAATACGTAACGTTACCATATTATCTTTGTATTCCATTCACGTTATTTCATAACGTTCATATTTTCGCTACGTTTCTAAAGTTTGACGTCATTGGATTACTAGGAATTTTTAATAAGGAGCCAAGTTAATTCTGAAGTCGGTTTATATAATAAACGTTCGCAAAGCAGTTAGGTCATAACCCTGGCATTTTATTCATGTTATTGTGTTGCGAAAAGGTTGTGGATGATGGAGGATATAAAACTTTGTTCTTAATGTACAACCAAAAACCTTTCTCTTAATTAAGACTTACTAAAGTTAGTTTTTGTTTAGAATTTTCATGTTCCATAGATTTAAAATTTTTCCTAACAAACAATTTAAAAAAATGTTATATTTGGGAAAAATATGTAAAGATATTTACATTATTACCTTGTATATTTTCGACAACGTTAGAACGAAGTATCGGTATTTGATAAAGGCGAAATTACTATGAAAATCCATATTTCCAATTCCTAAAATAAACTTAATAATAAAATGTTATTAACGACATACCCTACTCAACAAATACTTAGATCTGAAACAATTTTGTTAAATTCATTTTAAGAAAAAGATTGACTCATATACAACTCGGTATCATTATATTGCAATATTATGTGACTTTTGGTATGAGAATGCAACCTTTCACAGAATCTTTGAGTAGTCATGAAAGTCTGGTCTAGTTGATTGGTTGGTTGTTCCCTTTCGATTTATAGTGAACTTCTGCTAATGATACTATTTTTAAGTCTGACGCAAAAAGAGAATATTGCATGTCTAAAGTCATTATTTACTTGTCTGTGGCACCGTACAATCACTTAGAAATGTCGTTGTTCATCTCGAGCGTTTTCTTTTTTTTTATTGGTTTTAGGCAAGTCTTGACAAATATTTCTCATGAAGATAACTTAAATGAGTAGAATAAAATACCGGCACTATACTTAGAATTAAATTCATGCTTGCTTAGAATACTTTTAATGTGTATTTATAATAACAAAGAGGTCATTTTAATCTTCTAGATAAGAAGTTACTCTTTTTAGTGGACTGTTCACCTCCAATGATAAAAAAAGTTTTAACTTCGTACTTCTCATTAGAACATAAGCTGCTCAGACCTTTTTAAGCAGATACATAATGATTAATCTAATCGGAGAAGAATTTAGACAGACTAAATCCTGTCGGTTGCTCAATATCTAAGCATTCCGTTTTGTACCAATCTTTAATATACATAAAATATAAGACTTGTAATAAGGCATTCCGTAAAATTTGTGTTCTCATCCCTTTGCTTAAGGGAACTGTTCAATTTGGACATGTATATTGAATCATAAAATACATAATATGAATTATATTATAATTCTTTCCGTCTAGTTTAAAAATATCCATATATATTTTTCTACGTTATGTAGGTATTGAATCTTGCTGTATCTAGTATTGTGTGGTGACTGGGTCATATTTCTTCAGCACCGGGGGCTATCCAATTTCAAAAAAAAACTTATGAAAAACATGAATACCGTTTCTTACAATTAATGTTTTCTCAACTTCCATTTTTGGAACTAGGACTGTTTATGGCGCTTTTAAAATAGACGCCTATAGGGGCGTTGCAGTATCGCGCTTGTGGCGCGGCATCTGCGTCACCACTAGATTTTATACAATATCTGGAAGCGCGGCGGCCGCACCACTGTAGCGCCTGTTTAAGCATCTTGAAGGCACCCTTAGTCTACGTATCATCTGTAAAGAACGATGATGAATATGATGGGATGGCTCCCGGTTTCGATTCCTGGTAGGGCCAATGGAAAGGAATAAACCTTTCTAAATTGTGTATTTCTAAAATCTGAGTGTTTTGGGTAATGCCACGCAGTGAATTACATTGCTCTGGTATACATAGTATAAGGAATTTCCTAGTTTGAGACCAAGTAATTGGTTTGGTTGTTTGAGTGATGGTAATTATCTGACGTAAATGACAGTAGTGCAAATGTTCCAATCATTGGGAGGAAAATATTTCACCATTGCTTCTTCAATAGAACTAGGAATGAATATATCTTTATAGTAACAAAGAGAATCGCGTGATTCTCTTTTGATTCATTACATTCAATTTTCTCACAAAGCTGATAAGGTAAGAAAACCGTTCGGCTGATTACACACGGCGCCGTAACAACAGGGGCAACGTCGCCGTTGCGGCGTGGCAGTTGTAGTCACTTTTTGTTTACATACTTTCATATTACGTAACGCGGCGGGCGGCGTTACTTGAAACTGAGGCAGCGGCGGTGAGCGCTGTCGCAACTAATGTACGATTCCAGTTGATCACGTCGCATGGGCTGCAGTTGAGCCCCTGGTGCTGCGATATGACGCCGCAACTCTTGCGGCGGTAATAAACGCTATCGCCGCGGCGCCATGTATAACCAGCCTTCAATATATTTGTTCAGCCAGCGGTATTAATCCCGATCGTTATTTACTTGTGACTAGAGACTCATAACCTTGACTCCGGAGTTTTGTTTGAAATACGTGTATTAGTAAACTTTGCAGCAGAGAAAACTCGTTACCTTGTCATAAATATATTTCAAATATAATGATAGTATCGAATATTTCAACGAAAAATCTGTGTAGACTATGCTTGCCCGAACGCACGATCTAGTATTTATGTGGTCTGTGCACGATACTCTTGCCCAGTATGTTAATTTGGTTGAGTCGAAACTATTCGTCTCCTAAAAATGTCATATTTGTATTACATAGATTTTATGCATTTAGCGCTTCTCGTACAACGTACTATGTTTACAGCGTATGTAATGTTGCTATATTTAAGTTTCTCATTTAAGTGAACGTATAAATTCTTTTGAGAAAGTACATTCTTGAACCATAAAAGTCAAAATGTGGCCAGTCTAATATATTTCGAGGTGAAATTCATTAATCTGTTGTGTAATGCTTGAAATTTTAGTGTATAGCAACTATATGTATAATCAACATCAAAATCAAAATAATCTTTATTTCATAGGTCATTATTACACTTTAAATCGTCACATTGGTTAAACTCTACCGCTCATTCGTAAGGCAGATTCCCATGAGAAGAATGAGCAAGAAACTCTAGGGGTTGGTCTTTCTAAATAACATTTGTACGCATTCAACATTTACAATATTTTTTTTTGCTTTCAAACATCAGAGATTGAGAATACCGCCATGAGCTAAAGGGGTTACTACCACGGATTTTTGTCATCTAAGTACGCAGAAGTTGTATAATAACCTTTAGTATAAAGTTTTGTTTCGCTATAGTTTAAAACCTCGTGAATGGCAAATTTAGTATCTCAACGGGTATCTTGATATAGAAGCATGTACATTGCCCCTTAAATGAATTTGTCACTTTGTGAAGACGACTATCGAGAACAGCTAGTTTATTTTTGTTCCTCGTATTAATGTTACGTCTGTCACTATTTTTCATAAAGAGATTACTATTTCTCTTAACATAAATTACATTTTCATAGAGGTACTGTGACGGTAGTATAAGAATATTAATTTCCTTAAACTTATCTCTCAAAGATACTCTGGGGGCCTGATTGTAAATTGCCCTAACCGCACATTTCTGCAGGACAAATATTCTATTGATATCGGCGGCATTACCCCAAAGCAAAATACCGTATGTCATTAGACTGTGAAAGTAGATGAAGTAAACCAATCTAGCGCTTTCGACGTCTGAAAGTTTCCGTTTTTTTTAATCACTGCAGAGCTGAGCCGTTTTCATAACTTACTTATATGTGGACCTCATTGCAATTTAGCATCTACCGTTATACCTAGAAATACAACTGTATATGTATAATTATTGTGTATTCAAGTAGCTTTATACACATTCACACTGTAATGTATTTGATAATAAATATGAATAGTTTCATTAACGATACAGATGTCCTCAGGCAAAATGCGGAAGTATCAAAAAAAAATTAAAATAGAGGAAATACTCGAAAAGGAATCTTTTGACAGTTGATAATACAAAAGGCGATAAAAAATCTTTAACCTAACCGGTATTAGTATACGTTTAAGAATACTACAAAAATACAACATAAATACAGATAACGCTTAGTTGTAAGATTCAAAGTTATCAAAATACTTCTTTTCTTTGATAATTATCACGGTAATTATGTGATAATTTTCCGATATATATCCCATAATCATCCATGATGATTCATAGTTTTTTCTCTAAATATTTTTATATTAAAAACGACAAACAATGAGATACTAAATCTTTAGGAATTCTCGAACATGACAAAAAATCTTTAGGAATTCTCTCTCTTCTCTCTCTCTATTTCATTTGTGGCTCTTTTTGAGATTGACATTTTACACATTTGGATACGTCCAAACGTGTGAAATTAATTTTTTCCAATTAATTTTACAAATATCAAGATTATCAATTATCAAGGCATATTTGTCAAGATAATTATCGTGATACTTCAAAGCCTGGTCATAAATACTGGTAATTAAAAATGTACCTACTCACCCTATTTATTTCATTTCAGTATCATCGGACCAATTCTCCCCGCTCCTGGGTATAACACATGTCGAGCGCAACTGGTACGTCAGATCCACAGAAAACCTCGGGGCCATAGTCACCAGGGTCCATAGAGAAGACACCGGAGCCAATGTCACCTTTGAGCTGGAAACCAAGGGAGACCCCGTGCCTTTTACCATTGACGCTCACACTGGGGTCGTCACTGTCAATGATACGCTTTTGGATAAGGTATGCATAATAATCAAATATTATTTAGGTATATGCAAGGAAATTTATACTTATTGTACACATTATGTTAGTTTTGAATGCACATACTTTCAGGCTGAATATGGCGAGACTAAGCAAAAAATATTTTACGTACAGGCGCCTATATTTTTGGAACACCAGTAACGAAAGTTTTCTGTCAGTCGCACAACGTATAATAAAATGTAACAATATAAATGGCATTTAATATTCAAAGCACAAGTACATACTTATCACTATACTTACAAATAATTGAATTTCAGCAGCAACTAATTTACTGCTAACATTAATTTGAACATTGCCCACCGAGAATTGGCTATATCGTAGTTCATAATCTATTGTAGGCGTACAATTCTCTAGAGTTATCTATTCGAGATCAGAAAAAAAGGGCTGTCTTCAAAATTTATTGTAGAAATTTATCTCAATAATTGTTAACACCCATAATCAGATTTATCCATAAAAATAATATTTCACTTTTATTAAATAAGTCACTAAAATGAAGGATTTTAATAAGTAATGTACAGAACTTTATTATATAGTTAAATAATATAAATAATTAACTTCATAAATAATACAAAAATATAAAAAATAAATGACTATAATTGTGCCCTTTAAGTCCATATATACAGGGTGGAAATTTGTAATGCCACCTAGAGGGAAAGTACTCTAAATACTGGAGGTAGAAATTTTTACTTAAAGGAAACATTCCTTTATTTTTTTAAAGAAATAAAACTGCATTCATAGATTTTCGAAAATTTCTACTTTTTTGCGGGAATCGAACCCGCTTTAATCTGAAAAAAATGCACCCTGCACTTTTATTGCATCGATCGATAGGGTTAATTACAAGAATAAAATCTCTCTCACAAAATTGGTTAATTAAATGAAAAAAAAAACCATGAAATCTTAACGTATTTTAATAAAACGAAAAAAATGGTATTCTAACTAATTAGTTGCTCGAAATGAGCTCCATTTTCTTGGATACACAAATTTAATCTTTTAACAAATTCACTTTGAGTAACTTTTAATAACGTGTTGTGATGAATTGTATTACAAATCGTATTCTGAACCTCAGCCTTCAACTCGTTTACACTCGCATAGGATTTAAGGTAAATTTGATTTTTAACATAACCCCACAACTAGCAGTAGAGCTCCTTGTGAAAGAGTTCGTCCAGGAAAGTACTGCCATCTCACCTATTTCTCCACCAAGCAGTAATGTGAGCATTAATGTGTTTTGGTTTTGAAGAGTAAGGGTGCTGGTGAAATTACAGGCACATGGGACCTGTCAACTTATGTCTCAGGGTGACGGGCGCAGTGGCAGTGCTCCTCAGATCTTTGAGCGGCACTGCGACTGTTATGGACAATCGTGTCGCTTACTATCAGGCGCATGACTTGTTCGACATATTTTAATTATTCTTTTTGTTAGTAAAACATAAAACATCCTTAAACACATTATCTGCGAATTTTGAATTTACTGTTTGTAAATAAAAATATTTATTTCTATATCACTATTTATATCTCTTTCCAGGAAAACCGCACCTACTTGCTCTCGGTAAAGACCTTTGATGGCTACATACCACAACGAACCGATGTACTAGCATTTGTCGTAGACAAAAGTGGCCACAGGCCGAAGTTACCGCATCCTCCACCATTTGCATTCCCAAGCTATTCGAATATACCACTAATACCAAAGTTTACACCTCAAATGCCAAGTACCACTGTAGGTACAACGGAATATATTGAAGTATCTGTCACTTCACTTGTACCTGAAACAACTGCAACCACACTTAGTCCTCCTAAAAGACCAGATGACATACCAGAAGAAAACTCAATGGATAAAGAATTAAAGAAAATCAACAAATCCTCAACACAAGACGACATAGCAAGCAATGACGTACCGTTAACAGTTATACCACTGATAGCTATCGGCGGTTTGGTACTGATAGTTGCTGTTGTCATACTTTTTGTTTGGAAGAAAAACTCTAGTCCCAATAAGAAGACCAAAAAAGATGATATGGTGAGTCACGCTACATAATGATGCACACATTCGAATGTAAACTTATCTAATTTTAAGTTAACTATTAAGATAAGTTATGCACCAAATTATTAAGTGAACTAAGCATCAGGTTTCTTTATAATTCGATTTGCCATGGCCATGTCACATCACTTTAATTCACGTAACGAAATTAATTCCTGATTCAACATTACTTTAACCAAAGTTTTCAGTCTCAGCCGTCAGCTCTCATTTTATCGTCATAAATTTTGTGTTTGTTACAGATATGCGTTTAGGCGCGTCATTGTTTATAATTTACTTGTAATTATGAAAAAACTCTATAAAAATAAAATTTGTAAGCGACGCCTCAATAGTAAACTTGTCCAGTGTGCAAAATCTATGTGTATAACGCAAACTTTTGGAATTAACCTTCGCCTAACTACATATAATTAGATTGCCTAACCAAACCTCATAAGTTTGCCGCAAACCTTCCAAATTGTCTTGTCATATGAACCGAGTCGCGTTGTCCACAGAGCAAAGACTCGAGTGGCATCGTCCTACAAGATGCCTCCTCTAACTTGTGGGATCGACCACGAGCTTACTCCAACCGTTACGAGTCGTGGGACAACAATCATTTACAGGTCAGTTTTTGGCCCCTTTCACAGTCTTCTGAGGCAATGTGTTCATTTACAATAACATTCACACCATTGATTATGTCATATCCTCTCTCTCTTCTAATAGACTACATTTCGTTCCTACCTGCCAGATCTCAGATTCCTGTCTGTCAGATCGAAACATATTTCATGACGGCCTTCTTATTCTGACGTTTGTCTTACTATAATAGTACTAGATTATTTTTAAGACTTGTAACTAACTTCACTCATCACACCTAAATCATTGTGTCTCCAATTGACCATTAAATCCATATTAAATCTGTATTTCTATCTGATACGCCACAAATTTTGTCTTTTATCCCATTTATTATAAACTATAAAGCTATTTTGTTGTATTTCTGAAAGCGTACATGCATGATCATGTAGTTAAGTCCATTACCAAGCAGCAGTGCGTTTTCTCCAAAATAATAATATTTACAGTGTACAAATAAAACATGGAATCGAATTTGAATGAAAGCTCGCGTACGATTTGATACAATAGCGTAAAGAGTAATTTAGTCGTTTGTATCGAAAACACTGAACTGGATTACATACAACTACGAGAACTAGTTACATAATAAAAAAAATTTCATTAAAATTGACCCATCTATTTTTGACCTCGTTTAAATTGCTGTCTGACTAATTAAATCCATGAGTGCACGCCCATGTGACATTGTTAAAAAAAATCACCTGGTTTAATCTGTTGATATACCTGGTTTAGTCTGTTGAAGTACATGTCTAATGTACGTGTCACCTTCCCCACATACAACCCGTGTATTCACTAAATAATCTCAGTACAGAGTACTAAAAAAATCGACCTCAAAAGTACGTGGAATTACGTCTATTTGCTAAGTTTTATTGAAATATCCTTAAATTCGCCACTATACAGGACTTGACACTGGAGATAATAAAAATCGGTTCTCACTACTCTAAGAATATTGAGAGAAAAACGCCTTGAATTGGAGAAATAGCAAAATCAACCATTAAAATAATTGCTCCTGAAGAAAAGTTAGGCGCTATTTATAAAAATGAATCTTCATGCGTGAACAACCACCCTTAGAGGCTGATGATTTCCTTCAAAATGAAATGGGACCACTATGAAAGTACCCCCTTTCCAACAAACAAAGAATCATGAAAATCGGTTCACAAATACCAGAGTTATCACGTTACATACATACAAAAAAAACGTACAGCCGAATTGAGAACCTCCTCCTTTTTTGAAGTCGGTTAAAAAATGAACTGTAAATTATGGACTTTATGCATTGACTTACAATTATATTTTATGTGAATTCATCATCACATACAACATTTTCAGACTAAAACATAGTATGTAGTCATTATAATCAAATGATGAGATAGTTATGAAAGCTTCAAAATACAAAAAAAAATACAAAATAATTTATTTAAAAATGAAATTGTGTAGGTACAATTTAAATTATAGCAATGAACCAGGTAACAACTCAGTTATAGCGTACATCGCGTATGCAGTATTTCCTACGATACCTTCACTAGGCAAAGCCTGTCTCGCCGGTAATCGATAAAAACATTGTTACTGTTAAAAAAATAACGCCAAACCAAAGAGAAAATTTATCGACAAATGGTAAAACTAAAATATTGCCAAAATTCTTTACAAATTGTCGTTTCACAACTACAGTAGCAACATATCGTAGCAACATAACAAATTTATTCATTAGTTGACCACAACTGTATGTGTCATATTCCAAGATTTAATCCCAACTGCTTACTTAGGCCTTAACTACCCTTATAAGTTCTAAAACAATTACCATCCTACAAATATAACGTCATGTGTAATTTCTAAAAGGATTTCTCGAAACTTCAGAACCTATTTACATATGGTCCCTTGTTGATCATTTATTAAAAATACAGTTTTTAAGTAAACATCACAGCTAATGTGTTTATATGCCTGTGATATAATTACTCTCTTTATAAAGGAATAGATACGCAAAATCTGAGCACAGTTGTCAATCTGGATCGCCTTTCAACGTGCAATCCCAAAGATGCAAAACTCCAATAGTTGAGAGTACGCTTTTCGAGCATTTTAAGCATTGACTTACAAATAAATGGACGACGGGTTTAATACAAAAACCACGAAAAAAATGTCCCAAGTCAACCTATTCGAAATTTAAATTGTAATGTCATCGCAGTATCGCGCTGTCAGTCGAACAAATGAAGACTAAAGCGGAGTTTGGCGCTCTGTATACGATTTTAGCGCCTTACAAGTGCGGACACTTTTTAGCGCGGACCCGACGTCCATATAATTGTAAGTCAATGATTTTAAGTCAAAAATCTGTACCTGAAATACTTAAATTTGTTCAAGGTCAATTTTATTACTACCTTTTAACATGTTTGGAATGTTGAAATATTTTACTACTTTTTAACCGACTTCAAAAAATGAGGAGGAGGTTTTCAATTCGACTATATGTTTTTTTTGTATGTTACGCGATAACTCCGGTATTTGTAAACCAATTTTCATGATTTTTGAATTTGTTGGAAAGAGGGTACCTCCATAGTGGTCCCATTTAATTTTGAAGAAATCTTCCACCTCTAAGGGTGACTGTTCCCACATGAAAATTCATTTTTATAAATAGCGCCTAAATTTTAGTATAATGAGCAATTATTTTAATTTTGGTTGATGGTTGATTTTGCTATTCTTTAATTCAAGGCGTTTTTCTCTCAATATACTTTGAGTAGTGAGAACCGATTTTTATTATCTCCTGTGTCAACTTCCGTATACTGGCGAACTAATGGATGAATCCGGGTTTGCGCACTTTCCAGTAACCGATTTCAATAAAACTTGGTAATTATATGTAATTCCACGTACTTTTGAGGTCGTTTTTTTTAGTACTCTGTACTAATATTATAAAATGGCGAAACAACACACCCGTTTCATATACTTGGGTAAGTAATATAAAGTTTCAATTTATTACAGAAAAGACTTTTTTAAAGGTCTCCTTTGTGAAAATTATCTGATTTTTATTTTGTATTGAACTCAAAAGGATATCTGCTAGTAAATTAGGACCTTCACACGCGTTTTTTTTTAAATTTAATATTGTAAAAATTTTGCCATGAGGGTAAATTTCAAAAAACAAATTTCTAAACACTCAAAGGTGCAAGCCCGGATTCGAACACACAACCCTTTGCTTGAGAAGCGATAGATCAAACCATTATCTAAACACGACATTATCTATCTTATATCGTATATATGTATGTTTAGAAAGTTTGTTAAATGTTGATCGTCTTCTTAAAACCGTCCATAAAGATTTCTTTCAGAGATTCTTTTGCTATTCATTCAGGTTTCAATAGGAAGTTTATATTAATAAAAAGTACATTATGTACCTGTAATAAACGATTGTTATAATTGTCTATTATATTTTAAATTTACCCTTCTATCCCACTAAGCTAACGATAGCTATTACATTAGTAATAGCTATTCAGGAATTCATTCTATAAGGAATTGTCCTTCACGACCCTTTGTCATTGAAGTGCATAAATAAAAGCTAAATTTTAATTTCTGTTACGTCTAATCAAATCGAAACCGTCAGTAACGAGTTTAACAATGAATGCATGGAATATTATTATCGAAATTAGTTTTTGGAAAATGTTCTCTAAGTAAGAGTTATTAATACAAATATCGAACACAAAGAAAAAATCCTTCGATCTGATAGGACTCGAACCTCGAGATCGAGGGAATTTTTCTTTGTGTTCAAACTTTGTATTAATAATTATAACAAGCAAGTGGAGTAATTTTACAAGAAATAAATTATGAATATCATGATAGTAAAACGTCATAATATTCATTACAATCAATATGTAAGAGTTGTTATTCGGAATTAAGTATACATTTTTATTACCTGTTCTTGTGTTATTTTAATGTTAAAAAGAACGATCAACTTCTTCATGTTAAAAGCTTTCAATTAATTAACACTTTTTTGTCTCGAAGCATACAAGTATATTAATGTATGTATGAATTTTGTGTTACATTTCCTTTGCAAAACAAATACGCAATATAATCAAACAATATTCATCATTACATTTCCACCTCAACGTTTTAATGAAAAAAGAAGCGTATCATAAAATAAATAATAGGGTAAATATTATATTCACCTCGTACTTATAACGGTTTTCTGGCAACAAATTCATTCAAATGGAATATTTTTGGAAACGAGTTCCCAGATCAAAAGGTATCTGTCAAAAGCAACCAAACATTTCGTGGAAGGGTTTAAAAGTGTCGTGAATACTTTGTTTTCGCAAAGGAGTATTTCATATCTAATACCTCTTCTAATTTTTAATTACTTATGATTTCGAAAATAATTAAAATTTGTTTATTTTTAAAATTATCAAGACATTAATTTATGTTTATGGATTAACTACTTTGCACTGGACGAAGGATGAGTCATACTAAACCACATCGTGTCAGAATCAAAGAATTTAGCAAACTACATTAAATCACAATAATATCACATACATCAAATATAGACAGAATACCACGAAATTAATGTGATATTACACTTTAAACTCAACTACTGGCTCTACGTAACGTAAATCATCAATCAATGACAAAAAACACACTGCAAAGTTAACGGTGAAGTGGCATAATGGCAAAAACACCGCTTCCGCCTCTCGCAGTGCGCCTCGCATCAACGGTGCGGGCTTTCATAAATGGTCAGACAGTTAAAGTGCGTAATACTAATCATACCTATTTCGTTTTCCGCAGTTGTCACAAGAGACGTCAATCACAAAAGAGGAACCTCGCGACGAATGGGAATTCCCTCGACATCGGCTGAGGATCTTCAACATTGTAGGCGAGGGTGCTTTCGGACAGGTGTGGAGAGCTCAGGCCATTGATATCGACGGTAAGCCGGAAGTATATGAAATCTAACAGTTTCTGTTCACACATAAATTAATTTATAAATGCTAATAATAGCACTGTTCTATTTCAAACCGCTCAAAACGTATTTCATTACGACTTGCCTATTGTACAAATACTCGTACATTTACGTAACACAACCAAATCTACAACGTGACACTATTCACACTTTTGACACTGCTAATTCGTGGTTCGAACTTCTATTGTTCTCAAATTAACTTGAATTGAATTTACCCTTCCAATACACTGTTCACTGAGTCACTAAGTAATTCTATTAATTTTAAAGCACGCATAAAACTGAAATATGCATATAATTTATTGTGTTAATTATATCAATATACCACCTCCATCTATGATTATCATCTTACATTAAGCTCTTTATGTCTCGGATTTATACAACGAAATCACACAAGAATCATAACAATGTGATGCAATGCCAAAGTAATCGAAAATTAATTGAAAATAAAACAGATACGGTGTTCTAGGTCGTGGGGTCACATTTGAATAAATAAGGTACGTACAGGTGTTTATTAGTACTCATAGGTATTTTCCATTTCTCCAACCATCCACATTGTTATACAGGGCGTCTCACAGTGATGCCACACGGAGGAAAAGTTCCTTAAATACTGTAGATAGATAATTTACTGAGGGAAATCTTCATTTTGATTTTAAAAACAATTCGAACTGCATTCAAAGATTTTTAAATAATCGCCTGTCGGAATCGAACCCACCAAATGTGAAAAAATATCACCTGTAATTTTACTGTACTGGTCGAAAGCCTCAATCCTAAGGATTGTTTTGTTCTACATAGCATCTTAAATAAAAGGAAGACCATAAAATTTAACATTTAAATTTTTATTGAATGGATATTCAATTATTTTTTATGTCAAATTACTCCACTAGTTTGTTATAATTATTAATACAAAGATCAAACACCCACATAAAATTCCTTCGATCCGGCCGGATTCGAACCGACGTCTTCTAGCATACCGTGACAGACGCTATACCATCTGACGGCAATACCCAGACAACTAACTTAGAAATGTTCGTTTCCTAAATTTGCCCAAATCGGGAATCGATCCCCGGAACCTCCTCATCAAACGCCCATAGCACTAACTGCTGTGCCACCGAAGAGCATAAGCACACCCCGTAATCTAAACCCGGCCACGCGAGCCGAACCCGACCCCACTTATAATCTATTCTTCGAAATGAAACCCCAAACAAATGTCTGTCATTGTTCTCGATAATTTCTAATTTGCGTTCACAATCACGTAACAAGACGTTTACCTGTGCAAATTTGAAGCTAAATAAATAATTTGTATATTTTGATGGCCGGTTTATATGTGGAAAACTTTGACTGTTTTACGAAGTGCATGAACTAAGTAATGCATTCTTTGACTCCAATCGTAATCAGATTATTTTCTTATTCATTTGTTTTTTCAAAGAAGTTATAGCTATAAGTTTATAGACAACTTTCAAAAGTTTAGCGCCATTATCATTATTTGAAAGCTATTCTAATAAATTTAGTACTTCCTCTCCATTCTCCAATCAAAATCCTTTATTTATCCATCTGGCAAAAAAAAAAAAAAGGATTTAACTTAGTTGACCTCTTCGGTAACAAGTACATAGTGTGGCTTTATTGATTAATTTATAAGCTCCTGTCCTAAGTTCTCATATTATGTAATGTCATTTAATTTAATTTTCTTGAAGACTATTCTGTCAAATATTTTTATTTTTTCAATTATTGGCTAACATTTTTCCCATTAATGCATAATTAGTAGTGACGCGCCTGTAGCGGTACAGTGGCGCCATTGGAGCGCTTCCATAAGCGTCTAATTTGAAGGCACCTTATTTTTTTTTATTTAATTCTACATTTATTAATATAAAAGTCTCGCACGTCTTTATTTATTTATTTATTTATTTTACAATAAATTACATACTGCTAACAGATCAGTATCCAAATGCAATTGTAATCTTACGGCTAAGTGGATAGTATTTAAGTATATACAAATTAATGTCATTAACAAATACAATTGATACCATAAATCAAACAAAATTGAAAAATTACATGAAATTAAATACATTGTAACTACATTATTATTATACTATTACTGCAATATTATTATTACTATAAAGAATGGAATATTAATTTAAATAACATAATACTGCTGTATCTAGTCAAAGTTTCAAGGTAGCGTCTCGCGGAAACTACGAATTTAAGTTCCGAGCTTGTAAATATATCTAACAAGGACTCAAAGAGAAGCATTTGGTTAAAACAATTAAGCGCTCTTGGTAGAGGGGCCAACCTACTTACCTTAGATCGTGTAGAACGTAACGCAAACAACCTTTTTCTGTGAGTTCGCACCAAATTGAACCTAGGCACCAAAAAACCTATCATGGATATTATATCTGAGTTGTACGTGATTCCACGCACCAGACGAAATATATGGGTCACCAGAGCTAAATTACGTCTCACTTCCAGTGTTCTGTAATTGACCATACTCAAGATGAAGGTAGTGGGATAAAGCAAGGGGTAATAACCATACATTTTTTATAGAGATTACGGCCAAATAATTTTTGAATTTTTTTAGCGCTAATATGTGGGTGTAATGGGCGGGATTCCAAATAATGCTATTACTCTCCAGCTTACTACGAACGAAAGTGTTAAATAAAGGACAGGATGCGATGTTACCCCTGAAGGACTTTGATTGTCTTAAGATGAAACCGAGACATTTACGCGACAATTTACTTAATTTTGAGATATATTCTCCTAAGGTCAGCTTAGCATCGAACCAAGTACCCTAATCTTTGACAGATTTGGCTCGGCCGATCTGAGTGTCTTTTATTTTGTAAATATGGCCTATTTGTTTGCGAGAGCGAGTAAATGATATGATTGTACATTTGTCAGCGTTTAAGGTTAAACTGTTGTCATTACCCAACTAAGCACGTTATCGATATCCCTCTGCAAAAGCTCACAGTCAGCCTCAGACCTAATAGTCATGGCCAACTTAATATCATCCGCAAACATTAGACACTTGCTGTACTGGATAGTAAGCGGCAAGTCATTAACCACAATCAAAAACATGAGTGGTCTCAGATGACCCACCCTCGAGTTTACTGAGTAGGATGTGGATTGACATTGGTTGTAATATACGTACTGCTGAAGGTTGGAGAAATAGTCTGCAAAAAATGAAGCCAATACTAGTTTAAGTTATTGATATGTAAATATGAGCGAAAATTCGAGTAAGTCTCATTTCCAGGTAAAAAAGGCGAGCAAACAGTGGCTGTGAAGACCCTGAAAGAAAACGCTTCGGAGAAAGAAAGAACAGATCTGTTGCAAGAGCTCCTGGTGATGAAGAATCTTGGGACACATCCTAATGTAGTCAGACTCATAGGGTGTTGTACTGAGAAAGTAAGTTTAAGTATAAGTTCCATATCACGGCCGCCGTTCTATGAAGACTTGTATTATAAGGAAACCTCAATGGTTTTAATTGCACTGTATCTGGTTAGTGTAGAGCATGTGTAGAAACTTGCCGCTTTGTAGTGATACGCAACGGTCCCGTTTTCATACAAAAGCTTTATAGCACACTTGTGTTCAAATGGCAGTTATTTGTGCTAATTATTATAGTGGTATGAGCGAGCGATAATTGTCGTATAACGGAATATTCATAGGGTTTCTTTTAATACAGTTTAGCTATGTAATAGGTTTAAGCTTTTTATTTATCATACCTATTGTAGTTTTACTTGTGAAAGAGTTCGTCCAGGGAACTACTGCTACCTTACCTATTTCTGCCGCTAAACAGCAATGTCAGCATTACTGCGTTCCAGTTTTGAAGGGGTTAAGGGTGCTGGTAAAATTACAGGCACATGGGACTTCTCAACTTATGTCTCTGGATGATGAGCGCAGTATCAGTGCCCCGCAGATTTTTGCGATATAAAACTCTGAGTGGCACTACAACTGTTAAGGACAGGCGTGTCGCTTAACACCAGGCGCTCGACTTATTGCTCCCGTCATGACCTGGTATCATACAACATAACAATAATTTTGCATTGGACCTGTAAGGGAACTTGTTTGAAAAACAATACGCGATTTAGATCGGGAAAAATAGCTTCAATTCAAAGAATAATTTTAATCAAGAAATTTCCTTTTTTACGTTGCCGCACATTGCCCTTCTACCTATCGTATATACTTAAACATTTAAGTAGAAAACGTTAAGTTTGCACACGAATTCGCAATACTTTATTGTAATAAGACTAAATCGCTTTAAAACCATCATAACTCCGTTGTAATAAAGTTCGGAGAGATTTTTTCTTTTGTTGAGTGAACAAAATATATTCTTTCATCATTCCAGTCACTGTCACGTACACAGCTAAATAAATCAAGGGATTATAACAGTCTCTTGGATAAAATAGGACCATAAAATATCTTATTGCGGTAAATTAGTTTTAGCTGAACATTCTGATAGCCTGATATTGTATCAGCTTAGATTAATGGACGGAGAAAAGCAAAGTTCGCGATCCGGGTAAATCTTCACGTCTACTATATGTCTTCTTATATAGTGAGGATCAAGTAATAGTTACTCTGAAGTAAATTTAGTATAGTCTTAAAATGCTGGCGCTTGAAATACAGAAACAATGTACGGATAATGATGTCTATAGTACTTAATTTGTATATTGTTTATCTTGGTTTAAAAATCTTAATCTTTTATTCCTTTCAAGTTCTTAGGTTTTCGCGATTGTTACACAAAGGAAATGAAACTATTTTTCCGGATTTAAATGTTGTTGTGGTTGACTGTCAGTCAACCGTGACCATGGGACCTGTAAAGGGCCCGAAACGTCGGTTTGTTTTAATCTCTAGTTTGATTTTTACACGTCTAGTCTGGTCCATTTAGAAATTTATGCTTACGCGTATACCTATTCCTGAACTAGCGAAAGTGGATAAAACCAAAGTTACTCTTGGTCAAGACAGTTTTGCCAACTATGAGGATCTTTATTTTATATGTTTTTATGGACATTTCTATTGCTTATTCTATTTACATATTAAGTATAATAGCAAGTGATCGCCTTGATGTATTTTATTCAATGTTTTGGCAAATTTCCCTTATTATAAACGTTGCCGTACAAGTAGCAGCGTACAAGGTAACCTAGATAGAGACAGTCTATTGATATTATCATTATTTTTAATTTATTAAGTTCATATCGAGTTCTTAGGTTTTACAATTGTGACACATAGGAAATGAAACTATTTTTTTGATGAATCTAATCGCGTCTATTTGTTTTTTCAAACAAACCAACGTTTCGAGACTTTTACACATTATCACGGCTAACTGAGATGGTAAAGTCATCAACTTGTTAAGTCTAATATTAAAGAAAGGCAACCCTATTTATTCTATACATAGTTAGAAAAGTTATTATTAAATACCTTGTACAGGTCAGTCAACCGTGACCATGGGACCCGTAAAGAGCCCGAAACGTTGGTTTATTTGAAAAAACATATATACGCCATTTAAATCCGGAAACATTGTTTAATTTCCTAAATTATATACCTTATTTTTCAAATTTTTCAATTTACGTCACACATGTTTTGCAACTTATTTTATTTCATTTGAACAATATGATTTTATTATTAAATTAAATCTTATTATTTACACATTTTTAAATATGTTCATCAAACTTTTTTATAGATTTTATGGGTTGGGCGAATATCGGCTACTTAACACACATAAATTGGCGAACTAACTTCAGAAAAGTCTGGCAACACTGGCAACAAGTGTCTGTACATTTGATTTTACACGCAACCGCACTCGCCGCCACTCTGAATGAGGGCTATGTATTGCGTAGTGACGATGCCAGACTTTAGATCATATTATTCGAACAAAATAATTGAACTAGATAATATTTGTATCTGGATTAACATCCTTGGAACTCCGGGGTCTCATGGTTAGATTAATTGATGCCATGAGGCCCTAAAAAAATAATATTATTATGACCCATAGGGCACGATAAATTACAATTAATCGAACTTACATAAGGTATGGATAAATTTATATCATAATAACTGACTCTAACAGAAGAAAAACAAGTGTACAGGATGCTACTTTAGTAAACAATAAAAAAGAAACCTCAATTATTATACAATCTTCATAAAGCTATACAATGAAATCTTTGAAATGTATACAGTAGTTGTGATGCCTATACTTAGGGTCAAGCCACACTGAAAGAGCAGAGACGCGCAGCGGCCGGAAGAGCTAGCACGATGCCTCTTTGCACCAGTCACTATAAATTATCGCGCGGCCTCACGCCACATTATACGTTCAATAACTTGAAATCAATTTGAACTTTATTTCTGTAGAAGACAAGATTTAAAATACTAAGTAATACTTTGCACCAAAAGTGCACCCTTGGCTCGCTGCTCTTTCAGTGTGACTTGACCCTGAATGAGTACCTGTATTTTAGGCATTTTGTTTCTGCATACTTTCTTCATATTAGTGGTTGAGAACAGAGTAGCCATGTTTATTTAAAAATAAAACAATTAGTTGTATAACTGAACTATACGAGTAATATATATTATAAATTACAACAAATAAATACACTTTTCCAGGAACCAACGCTTGTAATAATGGAGTTTGTGAGCCTGGGCAAGCTTCAACAGTTCCTACGCGACTCCCGCGCAGAGCGGCACTACGGAAACACACACGCCGGCAGTCAATTCCTTACCTCACGTGATTTGACGCACTTCGCCTTTCAGGTTGCTAGGGGCATGGATTTCCTCAGCTCTAAAGGGGTAAGATTTCGAAAATATACAAATTTAGTAGGTTTCGCACTGAGGGCGCTACGGCAAAAAAGTTGTTGAAACCTTTATTCTATTTTATTTTGCGACACATACGTCCATCACTCATCACGCTCAGGGCTCATTGAAATCCAGCGACACAGTCAGTTATGGCTATGGCTAAAGCCAAATGAAGTCATTTTGCGTACACCAAAACCGCACAAATGACAGTACAATTTGCCGCTGGTTCGAATCCAGCTGGATCGAAGGAATTTCTTTGTGTGTTTGTGTGTCCGATCTTTGTATTAATAATAACAACAAACTAGTGGCATATTTTCACAAAAAGTATAATTGTGAATATCATACTAATAAAAAGTCATAATATTCAACAATAAAAGTAATTGTTTAACAAATAGAAAATATAATTTTACTTAACTTATTTTCAATGTTGCCTTACAACTAAAAACTACATTTCTAATTGGGTTATCTTAACATTTACCTTGCAGAACAAACGTACCTACACAATAAATTTGAGGCTACCCGACTCTCTGATTTTTAGGTATCTTATGATTATTCTAAATAACTGAAATGCAGCTTATACGTTTGCCTAGGAAACTATTGTATAAAACATAAATCCACGGAACAGTAGAAATTTTAATTACAAATAACGGACACGAAATTCAATATCCAATAAATTGCACATATTTATTTAATTTCCATATGAGTGAATCAGAAAATATTTCAGTAAAAACAAATAAAGGTTACATCGCTAGTTTTCGAGTATTATAGAAGTCGGGAAGGGAAAAAAACACTATTGTAATACTGAAACACAATACTGCCATGTCTGCAGATAATACACCGAGACTTAGCAGCGAGAAATGTTCTAATCACAGAAGAAAGAACGTGCAAAGTAGCAGACTTCGGCTTCGCCAGAGACGTGGCGGGTACACACGTGTATGAGAGAAAGAGTGACGGCCGATTACCTATAAGGTACGCTTGGTATTATCATATAACTCCAATTTACAATATCTGCTTTTGACCACCTCTGTGGCACAATGGTTTTCTCTGTGAGCGCTACTTTGCGAGACCAATTTGAGAAATTAAATTTTCTGTTAGTTGTGGCTTAGTTGTTCTGGATAAATTTCGTTTCTCTCATAATACAGGGAATTCACTATTTTGAGTCATTATCGATTCAAGTTGTCAGGCATATTTTTATATTACAATTTGTGTCTATCTATAGACAACGGTAATAGGGTCGAGACATGATTTTTGCGCTATCTCAGAATCGAGCTTTTACTTTTATCCAGCCTTTACCCCTCTTAACATGAACATTATAATAACAACATTGAAAAGCATTTTCTGTGAAAATGCAGTTAAAATTTTGCTGAACAGCTAAATGATGGCCGCCACTTCGTAGAACTTATTGTAAAATTTTCGGAAAATTCCTAACTGCGACAAATGTACAACCAGAATTTGCTAATGGCCTTGAAACCTACCTTATTTAAGATGTAGGAATTGTTTACAAATAAAATTGTACTGTTGCAACTGTTGTAACATCTTCGTAATGATATTAGTATCGTAATTGTTATTAGAAGAATTTTAACTTAGTTTCTCAAAAGAAAACATGAGTTCGACTAAAATTTACCTTAGTTATTATCTAGCCAATATCTAATAACCATAATATACACGAAAAGAAAATATTCAAAAACAGCTAAAATTTTAGCCCTATTGATACGGAGAACTTTCATTGTTATGCGTACAGTCAAGAACACGACACTTTGTATTTTGGACCGTTCTTATCGTAAGCAGCAGATAATTGGATTTAAATCTTAAGTGTCAAGCTTGACGTGCTATATATGTGGTTGTGTGGCACATTATTATTGTCTGACACATCATTATTATTATAGATAAATAAATGTAAACATATTACTTTGCTTCTTTTTATCGACAATTATTTTCTTAAATTCTTCGAGATACGGTTCATTATTATCAAGCCCTTAAAACTACAGCTTGAGCACTCAAATTATTCGACGCTGACTGTACTCTCTAATTCAGACCCGGAGGTAAATGCCGGAAATTAAACCAGTTATCCTGACTTGTAAATACAACGTACGTATTTAACGCATGTTTTCATCCCTTAATATAAATTTTCATTAGAATTTGCAAAGGCTAAGGTCTAAAATCCCATCCTCTGAGGAAACCCTTGTCGCAATTCTACGTGTAAAGGTTGATATAGATCACGATGCAATCACAAGTGGGTACCCTATTTTTCTACAATATTTTTTTTCTCAGATGGATGGCTCCTGAGTCCCTTTACGACGACATATTTAGCGTTAAGTCTGACATATGGAGCTTCGGTGTGCTCCTCTGGGAGATCGTGACCCTTGGCTCCACGCCGTACCCTGGATTATCAGCTGGCGATGTAATGAGGAAGGTAAGGTCAATTATATCCATTTCACTCGTTTCCACTACGGACTTCTACAAACACACAGATTTGGTCTCTGCCATTAAAATCAAAATACACACACACACATAAATGAGCACATAACTGGAAAAAAGTAGTATGAATAAATATAAACTTAAATGTTTTACAATCAGATTGACACAATTCAGCAAACAATTGAAAGTATTCCTTATAAATAAATGTTATTACGATTTAAAATAATTTTTTGACGACATAAAATTAAATTATGACAAATAACACTAATAAAAAATACTTCGACTTCTCTCATTAATAATTATTTAAAATGAACATATAGTGTAATTAATTAAAACATAAATTTTAATTACTATTACGATATATTTTATTATTATTTTATTATTTATTAATGTAATAATTTAATATAATTAAATAGTGTTATTTATGAACTTAGCCCTTGTCTTGTCTTCAATTTGTAATTTGATATGCAATAACCATTTTAATTATCAAAAGAATGCTGCTCGGGTCGCTGTTGTCATATGTTTTATACAAACACTCTACGTATGGAATTCTTAGATTTCCGATATTGCTAGACCACACAAAAGCCTAACCGTTAGTACGTTTGAAAAACAAATATAAGCGTTTTTAGATTCGGAAAAATAGGTTCTATTACAATACGCTACGCATAAAAGAAATTGAGAGAAACAACGAGCGCATTTTGCCTTAATATAATTTAATTAGTACGCCTCAATTGTGTGCAAATCAAATAAACTAATTTTAATGGATATAACGGTCATTTAGTATGATTTTAAGTTGGACTACAACTTAATTTTATATAATTCTGGTTTGTGATAATATTCTCATTGTATAAACTACGTTTTACGTAAAATTATTTTTAAATAACAAGAATCAATCAATTATATCAATTCATGTAATATTTACGGTATATTAACCTGTACCTCACCTCCTTTAGTAGGTTGGGTTAGTACATGAAAAAGCAAATCAAACTATAAAAAATAAAATAAAATAAAATAAAAATCTTTTATTTCGGACCACAGTAATCCATATAAATTAGTAGGTTAGTAACATAACAACTTATAACTATGATAGTTATTAGGGTTAGTACAATTACATAACTAAAATTAATAAAATTAAAATAAAAATAAAATGAGACGGATCCGGCTGTCCAAGCGGCTCACCGATTCGCACGCAGTACATGCAATTCGGTGAACCTCTGGAAAACTGCTGCATCCATCCTGTTTGCAATTAACTTTAGGATCTTGTTATTGCTTCCCCTCACCCTTTGTACCACCGCTGCAGACATTTTGCGCATGATGGCATAAAAATCCTTAACAGCAGCATCCGCAAACATGCCAGATGCGCTGCAGAAACGTGGAAGCCTCAACAAGACCCTAAAGGTATTATTATATTGGATTCGCAAGGCACTGTACGATCTCTGTGTGAAATTAGACCACAGAGCACACGTGTAGAAACTTTGGCAGTATGCTCTGAAGAGCGTAAGTTTCACTCCAATTGTACATCGCGTGAATCTGTGAGCCAACATATTACCTCGAACCGACAGTGCCCTGCGCTCCCTCTCCATATCCTCATCATCTTTTCTACTCTCCGCCACAATATGGCCTAGATACTTAAACTGTGCAACACGCCTCAATGGTATTCCATTCAACAAGATTGGAGGTACATAGGCCGGCTCTTTAATCTTGCCTTTGAATAACAAAAACTCACTCTTCTTCTCGTTGTACCTTAAGCCGTGCCGCACAGCATAAGCCTCACAATGGCTCAAAAGTTTTCTTAAACCTCCAATCGAAGCTATCGAAACTATGTAGAAGAAGTGCAAACCAGAACCGAATTTCTTTAGCGTTTCCGAACGTATTTTATGTAAAATTTATTTTAGTTTAATAATGCATTTAGTTATAATGAACTGAAGTTTATAACATGTAATTATTATTTAATATGAGTGTTGAAGTAATGATTGTTATCAAAAATGAAATTATAGAATGCAAGTTCATATTAAATGAAGGTTTAGTTAAATATATTTACATATTTACAAAAATATGGACACACGCAATTTAATGTCTAAACTTTAACAACATTTAAAATAAGATTGAACCTCTAAAACCGCTATTCCACTACCTACTATCTAGATAAACGCCGAGTACTTGGTACTTGGTACTTGATGCAACGGGCTGGTATCCGCAACTCGACGACAAAACGCCTATTTTGCGTGTGGAACGCCGAGTATCAATTAGACCCTTTTAAATCAAACGACATAAATTTATTTCATAAAATATTGGGACCATGAATAAGATACAGATACGGTATTATCGTTGGAACTGTTTTTTCCGTATTGTAATCCAGAGAGTATACCCTCTGGGACTAGAATCTCAATCCAAAATGGCCATGAAGATAAAACGTCACTTAAACTCCTCCATTATTCGGCTACCCTCAAAACCTTTGACAAATCACTTGGACTATCTTGCGTTAATGGTTTGTTACCCCTATAGATACCCCTTAAGCACCGAAACGAAATTCAAGCCATCCCAATGGGGAATCAGCATTGTAACAATTACATAAACCATTTATTAGTTGAGAGTCAACCGTGACCATGGGACCTGTAAAGGGCCCGAAACGTCGGTTTGTTTGAAAAAACAAATATACGCGATTTAAATCCGGAAAAATAGTTTCATTCCTATGTATAACAATCGCGAAAACCTAAGAACTCAATATGATAGTAATCAAATATTTAATTCATCCTACGTACTTGTTTTGAACATAACACAAAATACCTACAAATTTTTTTCGGCAACATCCGGTTCGTACATAAGCTTATATAATACAAAATTCCATTTACTAATCACCCGTCTCTTTCGCCCTAATAACAAACGTCTATATTCCAAACTTTTTTATTTTTATTGGTTACTCTACGTATCAACTAGTTAGGTACAAATTTGAAATTATGAACAGGGGGCCTACCATAACGTTTAAAAAAAAAGTTTAAAGTAAGCTTATTATAATATTACTCATATTCGTACCATGACAAACCTATCAACCAAATAATGTATTATTGCTAAAGTGACTGAAAGAACGAATTATTTCCCAATATTGTCTATTCCTTACTAAAAATAGAAAAGAAATAACGCTATATGAACTGTATAATGCCATCTCTTTATTTTTTGATGTTCTAAATATTACTATCGTAGTATAATGTTAAAGTACTTAATAATTATTTACATTCAGAGAATTTTAACTGCCAAAAAAAAGAAAAGTATATAGTAATGAAATCTATTAAAATTACGTTGTTTTCAATTATTTTTCCGATATTAATATTAATAAAGTTTATTAAATAAAATAAGCCGAGTCTTGATTATCACGTTGTGAATTCGGAATTATAGTCTAGTATAGTGGCAACTGTTAGTGTTGCCAAGGAGCATATATATGTCGCTGTCATAATTTTACGAAATAAACATCGCGTATTTTTATTTAACGAGAAATTATTTCCTATTTACCATTAAATAAAAAAGTAAACCAAATATTGAAGAGATATATGTAAATCATCATAGTTTTGACATTATAATAAGGTTACTTTAAGCGCGTCATGGTACGAAAAGTCAATGTAAGTTAAAGTAATATTGTTTTAAGAGATTTTGGTAGGCCCCCAGTACTTTAGTGCGTCTATTTTAATAAAATTGTTGATTTTTTAATGCTTTTCCTCAGGTACGCGAAGGTCATCGTCTAGAAAAACCTGAACACTGCCGCAGAGAACTATACAATATAATGTATTACTGCTGGGAAGCTGAACCGACAGCCCGGCCAGATTTTAAGGAAGTCGTCGCCATGCTCGAGCGGCTCCTCTGCACTGAAATGGATTACATCGAACTGGAGCGGTTTCCGGACCATTCCTACTATAACGTTCAACATTTGGACGGGGAGAAACTATAGCCCTTCCTGTGTCCTGTACTTTATACAGAAATTATGTTTAATAGTCGTTTATTATGCAAGGCTGTAAAGTTGTTGTTTAACGCGACTGCTTGTATTGAAACCTGAGCAAGCAAAGGAAGCTAAGATAGTTCAAAAATAGATTCCAAGCGAAACACGCAACTTTTCACCTCACTATGGCGAGAAAAATGGTATATGAAAGAAAAACAGTTGAATTATAAAACATCCGTTTTTTTTTATTAAAACAAAAAGTTTATCTTCGGATGCGTTCTGAATTTACACCTCATCAATTTTTATTCTTGCTTATACTTTTGCCATGCCAATGCCAACAATAATAAAAATAAAATATACCAACTGTTACATAAATAAGCATAATGTACGAGAAATTGCGTAGTTGAATCTTTTTTTTTTTCATTGAATGAAAAAGTTAAGTGCACTACAGTCCATCTTCAAGTTCGAATTTGCAAAAACCTTTTCCACCCTTGCGTGCAAAAAAACCTCTATCAAATCTGCGCTTTTGCGCGCAGATTTCTTAGTGAGGTGAAAATTATATGATACTCTGCTGATATGATACCCACAATGTATTTTGAAATAATAATTCTTTGTATTTTATAACCGGTATTTTATACACAAAGCATGATTAAGCAAACACTTACCGGTGTGTATATGTAGTGCGTCTACTTAGAAATATAATTTGTATATACTTTTGATGTGTCCTAATCAGGCAGTGCTAACATTAAAATATCTAAAAATCTCTAATCTAAAACCTAAGCTATTTAAGAACTGACTCTTAAATAATTTGTATGTGAGTGTTTTTTGTAGAATAGATCATAATGTAGAAATAATAAGGCTAAAATAATTTTGTAAATATATCTTTGTAGGTATACCAAATACTACTAGGTATTTAGTGTTTATTTATATGTAATATAAAATCGTTTTCCCTAAATCGCTGTATTTCTTTATATTAATAGTTTGTTAGTAAAATTAAACTTATTGTTGTCCTAGTATGGGCATTATAATAATAGATAAATTTCCTTCGATACATAATAATGTCATATAGCAAATCGCGCTAGGTAAATATCATTTAATAAAATAAAAAATGAGACGTACGTACACATGTAACTTTATTATTGTTTCAATTACAGTTTTATTCCCCTTTGATCAATAAATTAAAGATCTCACTGTGTTTATTTAATGATTTGATTTATATATCTATGACATATATACTATTTATTATTAATACACATTATTATTTTATTATACATTTCAAAGAGACTAAATGAAATGAAACATAACACCTTATAGTCACGTGACTTAAATTAGTAGTACTAGTCTTTAGATGTAAATTAATAAATTTAATAATTAAAACAATTTTAACCGTGTACAGGCTTCGCATTATTAAAAACACTTTTGCAATAAATGTTTTGTTAAAAACTGTTTTAAGTTTTACTTAAATTCACGTTCCTCTTATAAAATTACTTAGAGAACAAAGGAAATAGTTTATTTTTGCGATTTATCCATCCCAATCGAATATTAGATATTTTGTTTGTAACAAATTCACTGTTTATAAAAATTTCTACCAACAAACTGATTGCGCCGCTTAAATATCCCATAATCAAAGCCAAAAACCCGCCTTGCAAATGTTGCAAAGATAAAGGTTTCAATTCGTCCTCACGATCTAACGTTCGCAGCAAGTTCGCCCTTCGCAATCTAGTTAATTGAGCAAATTGTCGCCTCACACCCGAGTTCACACCCATTTGCGTATGTATTCGCAAAGTAGCCGAAAATTTCTCCATGAAAGCAAATCCCTTCAAAGCTACCATTTCCATCGGGACGGAGAATGTGTTGGTATCAAAAGCGTAGTATCGATTGTTGCCAAAACTGTCGCTCAACTCTGGCATTATAGCCGCCAAATGAGCCAATTCCATCCTACTGCAAAGTACAGTAAAGTTTCTGTACACCGCGACATCAATTAGCGCTTTAGAAATGTTATCTACAGGCACCCACTTTTCTCCGATTAAGTTATCAAAGGGGTCAGAGGAGTTGTAAAACAAATCATGCACCTCTTCGAATCCACCGAACTTTAAATCGCTCTCGATTAATTTCTCAATTGTGTCTATTTGTTCTTCAAATGTCGGGTTTTTTAAAACATCAATGAGCTTCGTTTGATAACCAGTCAGAAAAAGAATGCAATACAAGTTGAAAAATACGTAAAACATACGTAAGCTCTGTTTAACTGGACGAGCGTAAGCACAAAAACCGAACATTGAAATCCAAGCATTCATAAAACAATGTCGAAAAGTTCGGTGATATGTCGAATCTTTACTTAAAATACCAAAGATTTTCCAAGCACAGACGCATAGCACGAATCCGGCAACTGCACAATACCACACGACTCTTTGGAATATGACTAATAATGCCACCCAGGGAGGTGATGGAAACGCTTTAGGTGCAACCCAAGTATACGAATCTGCTAAATAAGTTTCACTGCAGATGAAATCTTCATGGACATCATTATCAGGGAAAATTCCTCCTAATAGAATGTGGCCCTTCTTTGCCACTAGCTTATTCAAAGCACCCTCCCATTTTCCGTCAAATTTTACACCTCTGAAACTATTTATAATTTGGTAATTGATTTCAAATCCATACTTTGTGGCTAATTCATTTATTAATTTTTTTTCCATATTAGGATCAAATGGGTCAGCACTTACGAAAGGCTGTCTTTGTAAAGCCAAAATGTTTAGGGTGCACCCCATCATGCTATCAGGAACTCGGTCTCGGTAAATATCGTTTTCAGACTTGACTACTCCTTTTTCGCAAATATTTTCTACCTTAAGCCTATTTATGGCTGTTTCATTAAAATAACCACAACGAATCGGCGGTTCAAAAGGACGCCAGCTATAAACGATTGCGTTTCTAATGTTATTCACTTCAGGTACGATCACAGCAATGTTTATAACGTTATGTCTGAACAGGCAAGTTAACATATTTTCAATTTGAATTTCTATAGACTTAGTCGAATTTGCAAAATGAAATAGGAGAATCAAGAATTTTGCTAAGGGATTCCATGAGCGGGACCGAATGATGCAACTCGCCACTCTCGTGAAATCACTATAGTTATCAATAACGACGATATAGTATTCAGCAAGTGGTGTGGGTTCAAATATCTCCTTGTGAAAAACACTTAAATAGTTATCATCAACATTACGCACACAAATTGCCGGTTCATCTCTTGGGTTCTTCACCTCTACGGAATAAATTAACTTACTGTTTATATTCCTCAGTAATTCACTTCTAATATTTGCTACTGATGTACTAACGTTATTTGTGTTGACAAAGATAAGAAGTCCTTCTTTTCTGAAATTATGTTCCATAAGATCAGTAACACAATTACTGAAGTCTTTAACAACTGTGGGTCCTTGTGGGTTTACAATGGCTTCTGTATAAAATAATATTGGTGACAACACAAGTACTAGATTTAGAATCATTTTGAAGCTACTGCAAAGCACACCTAAAATTCTATTGTACTAAAAAGGCTCTATGATGCGATGCGCCTGTCGTGACACTAATGGATTCCATTTTCATGTAACTTATCTACACTGATCTCTACTTTAACTATTATGGGGTTCATTTCGCAATAAAGGTTGGCTTCATTTCGCAAAATTGTATTTTTTAATGTGCGCCGACCAGATAGCGTCCTATAGGTATCGTAAAAAGTCATGCAAATTTTTTGAATATTGCTTACAAGGACATCAGAAACATTAATGTGGAGTGCTACATTTTCTTTTTATTAAACAATATTAATAAACAATATTAACTAAATTTTATGCTCCAATAAAAGTGCTGTGAAATTTCTAAATATTCCTGCTAGCTATTGTACACATACGTACATAGATGCGTCGTATATTTTGTATGAGATTCAAATTTACTGGTAATTTATAATTATAATAAAACTACAAGTAATATTGTTAGTCTCAGATGACTGTTAGGGGTTTTCGTATCCTTTGGATACTAAATTCGTGCCCAAAGACTACAATGAATTTGTTTAACGTAACTGACATGATCCACTAGCTGTTGCCCGCGACTTCCTCTGCATATTTTTTTTGCGTACTTTATAACTGAAACACAATAAAAAATTTAAATAATTTCGGATGCAAGTTCCAGTAGGGATATGAACAGGCACTGAAGCAGCTCTCGTTTTTAGGCAGTCATTATATATGACAATATTTTTATTTATTAAATAAATACCACGATATTTTAATTATTATGAAATTCATATATTGTTTGGGAAAATACTCCTCTAGTTTGGTGTTATTATTGATGCAAAGATCGTACAAATACAAAGAAAAATTACATAGATCCAGCTAGATTCGAACCAGCGCCAGACCAGTTGGTTGCCAGTCCGGTGTTGAGCGATCCCCGATCCCCAACTGGGACACGGAACGAATCTGCAGACCTCACGAATTTCGGATCCCCAACTGGGACACGGAACGAATCTGCAGACCTCACGAATTTCTCTATGTGCTCGTTGCCAATATTTGTTTTTTTTTTTTTCGTTATGACAGTTATTCAAAAATGTTCACTGTAAACTAGTGAAGAATTTCTTTATAAACAAAATTCGCACCCTTTGTGTGTAATAAGGCCACACTTGCAAAATTACAACCTTTTAGGAGACAAAGGTACCTAACCTAAAAATTTATGTGTAATAACAATATTTATTTAGTACCCTAAATATCCTTAATACGTTTAGAAAAAGAATTCGCACTCTTGTCTTAGGCCCAATTTACTTTGTCGAGGTACGAAATGAAAGGAATGTGACCAAATTATGCATAGCATAATGAACTTTATGTCAATAATGTAAAGTACAAACTAAACATGACACAGCAACAGCGGGAATTTCGAGACTGCACGTGATTTTTTCTGAAGACGCACGACCTGAGTTTTTGGCTCGTTCTCTATCTAGTTTATACGTTACAAAATTGATATTAAAAATTTGCTTCCAATTCGCAATTTAAACCTAATGGGGCTACTACATCTGCAAAATACCAACTAACCTGGAAAGAGGTATGAAGACACTGTGAACGAAATTAGTCGGTAACTTTTTTATGCGTAAATAAGAGAGATAAAATTTCTAATACACATTATTTGTTTCATGTAGTTACTATTATTTGTATGACTTTCATAATAACAGAAGCACCTTTAGAGTATGATCACATTTGGCTTTGCCATATCATACCAAGGATATAAATTTGTAGTTCCACTTCGTGGGGCTAAATTCACCAGATTCCAAGAAGAGTTGACTCTCGAGTACGCAACTTGTAAGTGTCTGTGCGAAAAACGTTTCCCAAGTCCATTTAAAGTACAAGTTTCCGACCCCCAAACTACGACGCTTTGGAGATTCTCCATACAAAAAATGAATTGTCTTTACAATTTAATAGTAGGAACCACGGAACAATTACTAGTATTTCTGTGGTCTGTGGTAGGAACTGATGTTGTTCATTTTAATATGGGTGAAATCACTTCAATTCGGGTGTAACGCAATTAACGAAAGGGCCGCAATAATTGAAACATAATAATGTAAATTGCATAGGACTATTGGAATACTCTGGTGGTTTCCTTCTGGGGGCAGATCAATAGAAGTAATTAAATAGACACGACGGGCAGCAGGCAGACAAATGAAGACAAAACATTGCAGTGTTTATTTAACTCGTGTCCTTTGCTGGAGGCTACCTTCTCGAGACAGTTCATTACAATTCTCATTCTCCGAGAACTAGGATAACAAAATTACAGGCAAATAAGTTTTAAAAACGTTTTAAACATTACTTTCTGAACAATATAGTTCTTAATAAAATTTTCGCTTCATATTTTCTAGTTTTCTTAAACTTTGGCATATCCTCAGCGTAGCGAGAGTTTCATAGCACGAGACACAAAACAAATTTGCTGCCGAGTGAAACACACAACTTTTCACCTCACTATAGCGAGGAAAATCATAGATGAAAGAAAAACAGTAGAACTATGAAATATGTTTTTTTAATGAAAAGAAAATGTTTATCTTCGGATGCGTTCTGAATTTACACCTCATCAATTTTTATTGTTGCTTGCATTTTTATTTTGTGTGATTAAGTAATTATTGAAATTATTTTAGTTCTTCGACGAATTGAAATGGGACAAACAAGTCGTGGGGGGTCTGTGGTATTATTAAGTATAGTTGAAGTGCTCCGCAGAGATTTAAATCACAAAGATCAGAGGGGCACTGTTACTGCTGCCCGTCATTCACTCTGAGACATAAGTGGACAAGTCCCATGTGCTTGTAATTTTACCACCACCCTTACTTACCCTTCAAAACTGGAACACAATAATGCTCACATTAAGACTTGGCGGTAGAAATAGGTAAGGAAGTACTGCCACTTACCTGAACGAACACTATCACAAGGAGCTCTCTGCTACTGAAAGACTAAATAATATTTAAATACTAGAGTGTTATCACGAAGTATTTACTACTTAATATTCGAGCGTAGTATCCTGAAATCTTATTTTATAATTCATGACAATGATATATACATACCCGAATAATACTTAAATAATAAAAATTGCCACTGAAATCAGTAGAAAAGAACTAACCTGAAAATTACCCATCTACGTTTATTTTATTTGAGCCGTTAACTAAAACTTATTTGAAACATATTCAGAAATAAATCTCATTGTTTAAGGGCTCCTTTATTTTTAGTTTTTGTACTTATAAACTGATGAAACTCTGGAAAATGGAAAAAAATATTCCACCGCTTTCAAGTCTCTCATACTTGTCTTCTTAACTATACTCACTGAATAACGCACACGCACACACTCAACATAGCCCCGCATTAGGGAAACTCTGTATCGCCGGTGCCATGGAGACAACCACAAATTATACCCAAACGCACGAGAGAAAATAAATTTAGGCCACACAAATATTTCTCACGGCCAGGAAATCGAACCTGGGACCTCTGCGTGGCAGTCTGGCATGGTAACTGTTCGGACAAGGAGACAATTAATAGAATATCATTATTATCACTGTCACAATATTACAATTAAAAACACAATGTCTAGAGATAATATGATCGTCACTAGAATAGAATAGAATAGAATAGAATCGTTTATTTCATGTTATCAATGTCACAATATTACAATTGGAAATACAATGTCAAGGGATAACTATGATCGTCAGTAATAAAATTATAATAATAATAATGAATATAAAATAAAGTAGTATAACTACTGCTTGTCGAATAAAATAAAATTAAAATTGTTTCAAAAGAAACTCATCGACACTGTACAATTCAATATCCAATAAAAGGTTTTTTAGTCGGGTACAAAACGTTGCATCGTTTCTAACACTTTTCAGGTCTGTGGGTAGATGTTCGTAGAATCGGGGACCTATTACCCGCGGATTTCTAGTTGCAAGTTCGGTACGGTGGGCAACGGATTTTAGTGTTCCCGCGTTTCGTAACGCTCGGCCTCCGCCCGTACGTCGCTCATAAGTAGCCAAGTTTTGACGCGCATAAACTATTATATCATAAATATATTGTGAGTACATGGTCATTATATTGTATTTCTTAAAAAGGTTTCTGCAGGTCTGACCCTTTTTTATGCCTACTATTGTTCTTAGTGCACGTTTTTGAAGAATAAATACCCTAATCGACTCAGTTGAATTACCCCACAGTGTGATGCCATAAGACATCAACGAATGAAAATACGCATAATACGTCTGCCTCAATACCACATTGGAGACAAGAGGACGCAGTTTCCTCAGTGCGTATGCAGCACTTCCAAGTTTTTGACATAGAGTTTGTATATGTGACTTCCAGTTCAAATTGGAGTCTATCGTTAAACCCAAGAATTTACAGGTGTTACATAATGGAACAATGGAGGTGATAATTGGCTTTGTTATAGAATTTCTTCCTGAGAACAACATAAGGTTTGACTTCGATTCGTTAAGAATAAGTCCATTCGCAGAGAACCACTCACACAGCTGCTCATACGTGCAGGCTAATTTTTCTTCCAACTCGTTGTAGGTTTTAGCACACACTATAACGGTTGTATCGTCCGCAAATAGAACCACAAGACCCCCTGATATAAAGTATGGCAGATCATTGATGAATGCCAGGAATAGTGTATTACCTAGGGCAGATCCCTGTGGGATGCCAATGGTGACGTCACCAGCCGCTGACCTAGTTGTTGTACCGTTTGTACTGACCTGAACCGTTTGCCGTCTGTTTGATAAAAAAGACTTTAATAGGTTATGGGCGACTCCGTTGACGCCATACACAGCTAGCTTTTGAATTAATAAATCATTTTCAATTACATCGAACGCCTTTGTTAGGTCACAAAAAATGCCTGCAGTTTTATACTTATCATCTATACTGGTAATAATAGAATCTACTATATTTTGTGCTGCAACTACGGTGGATTTACCTTTCCTATAAGCATATTGTCTATCTGATAACAAATCGTTCATTTCGAAATGATCCATAATACTTGTTGATATAATAGATTCTATTATTTTTGATATATTCGGAACTATGGTTATCGGTCTGTGGCTTTCAACATGGGTCACGTCCCCCTTCCCCTTAAACACTGGACATACACGAGTACTTTTTAAAATATCAGGATATATACCTTCTCTAAACATTTCATTTATTAAAATAACGAGTATGTCTCCAATCACTGGCCACACCGACATTAATATATTTATAGATATATCGTATATGTCCAGCGTTTTTGACGTATGCCACATACCCCTCACTACCCCCTCCAACGAGTCACGAGTGACAGTTGGAAGGCTGTACTGAGGAACATCGCATTCACCCACGCATTTTCTTAAAAATGACATTGATTTTTCTTTATTATTGTGTAGATGTAATTTTGAAGTTATTGTAAGAAAATAATCATTGAAGTAGTCAGGTATCATGTCCACAGGCACAATGTCTCCCTTGTGAGTCAGTCGAACGTTTTGTTGGTGATTCCTAGTTGAAACCTCATCGTTCACAATCTGCCACATTACCTTACTCGAGTTTTTAGTAGACATCATCTTATTATCATTAAATAGACGACGATCACGCAAACTCATAGATTTTATTAAATTTGAATGATGTTGGAGACATTTATTTAAAACATTATCATGTGGAAATTGGTGTTTCATTGAGCAGAAATTATTATACATTGCAATGTGGTGGTTAAGTTCTTCACTCACCCATGGAATAGTATTCCTCTTTAAAGATATTTTTTTAATAGGAAAATGAATATTAATATAATAAGTTAATATTCTTATCAATGAACTAAATTTTTCATTAACATTAATATCAGTCACATGAATGAAACTCCAATCATAATTATAAATGTCCATATAAAATAAATTAATAGACTCCTCTGCAAAGATACGTCGATGTATAAATTTGTTTACATTTTTGTGTTGCGTAACAGGTAATACGAATAGCTGTGCGTTGTGGTCGCTTATCGGCGTATCTAAAGGAGAAACGGTTATGTAATTACAGTCATCGCTCGAAACTATCCCACAGTCCAAAGAAGTGCTACAAGTGTCACATTCGCGTGTAGGAAAATCGACAATATTTTTTGTGTTATAACAACTTAATAGGTCGTCTAGGCATCGCCTGTCCGAGTTGTCGGTTAAATAATCTACGTTTATGTCGCCGACCAAAATTAACCTTTTATTTTCGTCAAATATTGTTGACAATAATTTTTCTATTGAATATAGAAATTGTTTAAAATCTCCGTTTCCAGTTCTATAAATACCCACAATAACAATATTTTCCGAATACAGTTCAATTACACAAATTTCACAATGATATTCAACACCAATACTGTGTAGGTCCGTTCTTTGTTTAAATAAGATTCCTGGCTTTGTGAACATAGCTACACCGCCGTGGTTGATGCGCGGGCGACAGTAGTAATTTGCGAGCTCGTACCCTGATAACTTCACGCGTAGTATTTCATTGTTTTTGCACCAGGTTTCAGAACATACAAGTATGTCAGGTTCGTGTGTGTTTAAAATTATGTTCAATAGTCCCGTTTTACCAGTAATAGAACGTACATTTTGGTGTAAGATCGTTATGTTCGATTTGTGTCTCGGTTTTGAGGTTATCCCTGATCGTGCCGCGCGTGTGTTTTTCTTAAGTTTTTTGGAGTGATCGTATTGAACTTTCTAATTGATACTCCGGCGGGCCATAATCCAGGATCTCGTATAGATTGGACTTTATTGGCTGGCACCTCTAATTTAAAGGACGCGTACTCTCCGCGTGTCGGCAGCCGCTCACAGCATACTCCACTAATTCGCAGCCGAGATTGTAGATGCTGCTTTATATCTTCGGATGTGGTGTCGACGCTAAAATTGAATAAGTGTAGCGTACCAATGCGTGGTGGTGCCGCTCGCAAGCCTCCTAACACCGGTTCAATTGTCTTTTTGTTGAGAGGTCTAGTGGTGTTAATAAGATGAACCTCTCTGGTGTCAGGGGTTGATGTATGTGGAGTTGATATATTATGTGACTTGTGGTTTGCAGTGGAGTGGTTGTGATTGGTTTTGTCAGGCGTTTGCTGAATTATAGTAATTCCGTGAGGGCCGGAATCATCTAGGGTCAGTGGAACACTAAGTCTCTGTGGAATACTGGACATGATGTTTGTGACAGTGGAAGTGTGTTGCTGCTGTATTGTGCTACAGTCATGTGAGGTAATTGACTTGATTTTACGCTTGTTTTTGCGTCTGTTGGTAGTCGTGTCGGTTGAGATTTTCAAACTGTCAACTTTTGTCAATAATTTTGATAATTTTTCATCTTGTTTTGCTATGTATGTGTTTTGAGTTTTAATAGTGTCATAGCATAGATCTAATTTGATATTCAAATCATTGACTTTTACTTCCAAATTTGAAATAACTTCTACTAACCTGTCAAGGGCTGCTTTCGATGGTGGAGCCATTGTTAGTTGATTTTTTCACGTATTTCACAAACACTGAATAATTTTGTCACAGATTTAAATATTATTTAAGGTTTAATAAACTTTCGAATGTTTAAACAATTTAAAACAATTAAAATACGCGGAGCGTTCAAATTTGGCAGTTTATTGCAGTGGCGCCACTCGCGAATAACTAACTCGCGAATAACTAACGCAAACAATAATAATTAATATATAAAATAAAGTAGTATAACTACTGCTTGTCTAAATACAACGTCATATCATATCACTAAATACGATACATGTCAAGTAAAAGAAACTGTAGGATTCATTATCCAATAAAATGAGTTGTCGGGTATTATAAACGTTTCGTCGCTTGCAACACTTTTCAGGTTTGTAGGTAGATGTTTGTAGAATCGAGGACCTATTGCCAGTGGAATTCTCGTTGCGAGATCGGCACGGTGCGCAACAGATTTTAGTTTTCCCGCGTTTCGCAACACTCGGCCTCTGCCCGTACGTCGCTCATAAGTACTCAAGTTTTGACGCGCGTAAACTATTATATCATATATGTATTGTGAGTACGTCGTCATTATCATGGTATTTTTTAAAAAGGTTTCTGCAGAACTGACCTTTTTTATGCCTACTACAGTTCTTAGAGCATATTTTTGAAGAATAAATACCCTATTACACTCAGTTAAGTTACCCCACAGTGCAATGCCGTACGACATCAACGAATGGAAATATGCAAAGTACGTCTGCCTCAATACCACATTGGACACAAGAAGTCGCATTTTCCTTAGTATGTAGCACTTCCAAGATTTTCACACACAGACTACATATCTGATTTCCAGTTTAAATTTGAGTCTAACGTGAAACCCAAGAATTTACAAGTGTTGCACAATGGAACTGTAATTGTTGTAAATGTTGTGCTAATTGGCCATGCTATAGAACTTCTTCCTCAGAACAACATATAGTTCGACTTCGTTGTGTTAAGAATAAGTCCATTCGCAGAGAACCACTGATTCAGTTGCTTGTACGTATAGGCTAGTTTTTCTTCCAACTCCTTATAGTTTTTAGCACATACTATAACAGTTGTGTAGTCCGCAAATAGAACCACTAGCCCTCCTGATATGAAGTATGGGAGATCGTTCATAAATGCTAGAAACAAGGCTGATCCCTGTGGGATGCCAATGGTAACGTCACCAGTAGCTGACCTAGTTGTTGTACCGTTTGTACTGACCTGAACCGTTGACGCCATCCATGAACAGCTAATTTTTGAATTAATAAATCATTCCCAAGTACATTGAACGCCTTTGTAACCTTTGTAACGTCGCACTAACATTAGCGATGATTGCCATTTTTATAATATTATTATAATAAAAGTGACACTGGCACAAGCCTAGTGGCCTTAGACCTTAGACTATTTTTTTCCATCCTCTAAGCCTTAGACTTGGAAACTAATTTTATCCATCCTCTAAGCCTTAGACTATGGAAACTCCTCTAAGCTAGTGGCAGCCCTTTGACAGCCATAAAGGAAGTAATAATAATAATAGAGTTCCATAAAGTCTTCATAAGATGTAGGATTTGTTACAAAAAAGCTTGACGTTGGCGACGTTCGCACATAATTTTTATTTACTATTTTAACAAACTTGACGCTGGCGAAATCCTAAAAAGAGCAGCGCCAATAAGCAAAAAAATAAGAAGTCTTGATAAAGTACTGACATTTTAATGACAGGCTGTGCCACAAAAAATCATGTTCGCAGTGTCTGTGGAAAATTGAAGAGTTTCGAAGTATTTGGATTTTACGCTTTTCTGTATTTAAATAATATAATAATGTTTAGTTTTATTTTATTTGAATAATTGTTTGTTTAGCATCGATGATAAACGATACGATAATCCTCAGGAAACAATATTATCAAGTTTTTATTAAGTAACATTCGAATGGTGATTGCTATTTTAAAAACTACAGTATGTTTTTTAGTATTATGCGACCGTATTAAAGGATACTGTGGAGGTAACCAGTAAATAATATACTTAACTAGATTATAAGATATTACACAATTCGATTAAAATAAAATTTCTTTGATGAGCACTCGGAACTACGGAGAAACATTGCACCTTTTTATGGCCCTAAAAACAATCTCAAGTTCTACGGTGCAAATTATATCCTTCCTTGTTATTTCCATTGCTTTATTCTAATAATATAACCCTTTCCAAACGTAATGTCACCCTTTTTTGGGGGCTACGGTCAATCGGGGGAAGTATCTGTGTATGTCTACCTGTACAGGCCGATCAGATGCCGTAGAATGTAAAAAACACCGCACGTATCCACTCGTTGATTCATAAGTGCCGAAAATATCTTATAAACGTTCTCACAATTTTTAACGGTTATTGTGCAATGACCTTCCACCGCCAGTGTATACGGCAGGGTCATTTTATACCTTCAAACGAAAGTGCAAGGAATGGTTTCTGTTGCAACAGACGTCATGATGTTGCTGGTCTGTAATGGAAAATTAGGAATTGTAATGTACCAGACATTCATTCATTCATTTCATCAGTTATTTGTATCATTTGGCTGATGGTAAGCAAGCGTCCATGACAGTTGTAGTGAGCTTTAAATCGCAATGACCTGAGGGGCACTGCCACTGCGCTCGTCACCCTGAGACATAAGTTGACAAGTCGCACATGTCCGTATAATTTGACCACCACCCATACCCTTCAAAACCGGAACACAGTAATGCTGATTGCAGAACTAGGCAAGGTGGCACTACTACCCTGGATGAACTCTTTCACAACGAGCTCTACTGCTAGTAAAATGATACCAAGTGACTGGAAGTGCAACTCGTGCGCCTGGTGTTCAGCGACACGCCTGTCCATAGCAGTTGGAGTGCCACTCAGAACTTTAAATCGCAAACATCTGAGGGACACTGCCACTGTGCCTGTCACCCTGAGACATAAGTTGACAAGTCCCGCGTGCCTGTAATTTTACCAGCACCCTTATCCTTCAAAATCGGAACGCAGTAACGTTCACATTACTGCTTGGCGGCAGAAATAGATAAGGTAGTACGTCTCTGGACGAACTCTTTCACGAGGAGCTCTACTGCTACTAAAAATTTGATTTGTTTTGCTTGTTGTGTAAAAATATTAATGTATAATATATAAAAATATATTTGTTTTTATTTTAAACTGTTTATTTCAAATATTAATAACAAGTTACATGCAAGATAGAATCTTAAAGTTAAATATTATTTATCCTTTTCTAGTGAGTTGCGTTAACATGTAGGTACAATAATTAAATATGTAGGTACAATAATTACATTAATGACCAGTTTGCGTATCCTCTGATATTGATCTT